CACTTTCTCTCGCTTTTTGAAGGGGAGGTTACGTGTGTCCGCCTCCCGCCCACCCTCTCGCCGTCTGACGTCAGCGTCATGCAGGAGAGAGAGCGTTCGCGTCGAAGAACCACGTATCACTGATGAGAGATCGCTTCAATGGGGAAAACAAGACGAAGAAGGGGATAGGCGTTCTCTCGCCACACCTTACATTCTATCTTGCTTTTTGATAGCCTTCCTTTTTCTTGCGAGGGTGTTCTATTCTGATGCGGATACTTTTGCTAAGTTATGCCGTAACTTGAAGAGGGAAAACAAAGGAACTCTTGAGCAAAATTTAACGTCGTGAAGCACTTCTCGGGACTATCTTAGTTGGGGGGGGGACGACCGCGGCGGGCTTCTGTTCGTCTGCTCTCAGTAGTCTCAGTCAGCGACGGCAGTCACTATTTCACATCACGTGGCAGTTTCGAAAAAAAAAGAAACGAGGACTAGCCTTCGCAGGAGAAGACGAACAGATCGCCAACCCCCAACTACGATAGCACGCCTTCCCTTCACCAGACTGGGAGATAGGCGCCACGCACTGGGACGAGTTTATTACGTCAAGTTCATGCTTATTACACTCTGTATCGGAGGACGGGAAGAAAATCGGCGGCACACAACACACCGTAAGTGACGGCGGCGATGAAAAAAATTGACAGTTGACCACTGACGAGGACATCGATCGATCGCTGTTGTATTCTACTGATTATCTGAGATTATCTGATAGCGGGTGCTGAAGAGTAGCTCACAGCAGAATTTGAAATGGAATGGCGGTGCGAAGTGGGGGTGCAGCTGTACTGCCAAGTGAAAGTACAGCTGCACTCCATTCCTATTGATTTGAACGTCGTTCGTCAGATACGCAACCCATTTTATTCAGTTTCGCTGCTCGCGTGCCTTCCCGCAGGCGACTCTTCTTTTCATTCCTCATCATCTTGTCTGTTATCTCCTCAATAGTTCCTTTAGAGTAATGAATTTATTGGTACCTAATCGGATAATGTTTATGGACAGTTTTTTTAAGAATATATGAGTAAATTAAAATTAAGGCAAATAAGCCACTCGTGTAAAGAATTGACCGTACTATGCCCGTACCTTTTCCGCAAGTGGAAAAAAATTAATATTATAGTTATTATCTTTTTCATTCAATTCTTTTATAGCCTTCTCTTCTTGTCTTTGATAAGAATGCTGGTGTGGAATGCAGGTCTAACTATTTCCACATTTCCTGAATGAAGTCGAATACGTAGCGCATCTCGAAGTTGGAGGGCCTGGGGTTTTCTCATCCCACTCTCCAAAACTACACTTTTCTCCACAATAACAGTTTGGTGCAGCTTTTCTCTTGCGGTTAGATTAACAAGTACGGACCTCACACTGGATTCTTACAAGCGAGAACCTGTGTTTGGCGATTTCCTTGGCGATTTCACAGTTTTAGTTTGCGGTGGAATTTGCTAATATGGTGGTGTAGTGTGATTCTGTGGGGGTTCCCTCCTTTGTTAGACTGATAAGAATATGAAAACCAAAGTGAAGTGTGGCTGGCGTTTTGTGAATGATTGGCAGGAGCACGTGGACCAGAAAAACTGCTCTTTGACAGAAAGTCATATTATGAGACGGTTACAACCTGATGGCGTCTGCCGGAAAAATTGAACTTACAGAATGACTGAGAAAATTGAAAACTGAACGATTTCCTCCCCCTTCTCTGTTAGAGTTTCACAGCTTTAAATCTCTACATGGTCGGATGTGTAGTGTTAGGAGTCGTCATTAACCCACTATACCGTGATTACCATCGAAACACACCCTTGTAGCTAAAGACGAGCGTGTAGCGGCTTCAAAGGGCGAATTGATAAGAGTTTCTTCTTATTCAGTGAGGTCCCGAAATCCTAGCATCCGTTTCTTCCCGTCAAGACTACAACAACACACATTCTTCTCTGATTAACGAGCCAATCTGTGAAATCACAGAGATATGACATCCCTCAGGGTAAAGAGAACCCAAACTGCTGATCCTGCACACCCTAGTACAGGTACAGCCATCTGGCGCACGTGGCGAGTTAGCTGGTTGTGGACGGTTTCGCTCTGGGGTCTCATCGATTTTATTGTATGTACAGCGAGCACACGAAAGAGAAAACAACAAGCAGACGACGTATGGTATGAAAGGCACAACATGGTGCACGATATTGCATTGGAAATTGGCTGGCTCAACGTTTGAATCACCTCAGAGGTTACGATTGATTTGGATCCACCATGCGCTCGCCAGTGTGATGTGAAAACAAGCGGCGATAAGACGCGCCGCTTCTGCGCTCATAGTCCGAGGTATCCAATCCTTTCTTGAGCAAAAAAAGTGGCTGTTCACCGATGGGAATCCCTCTTCAAGTTTGTTGTCAAGGTAAAGCATTAACGAGGATTCTGAGGTGGAACGCATCAGATTATAGCTCTGAGGCGAGGGGACGAATGGGAGAAATATCGGGAGGTAAGGAGTTGTGGCACTCATTTTATTGAACAATGTTTCTCGAAATTCGCGAACTCGAGGTTTTTCGTAAGCAAAAAAAAGAAAAAACTAGAATTAACAAAGGTAGAGGAGAGGGGAAGGGGGGGGGGGCGGCAAATAAGGAATGACTATGAGTTCCGTTTCACAAGGTCCGTTAATTAACTGGTGAAAGCATCCCTGCAAATTTCGAGATCTTTGTTTTATTCGCCTATGCGCGCACCTCCTCCCGATCCTCCTTCGCCCCTGGGCGAAAACTTTTTATTTCAGAGATGTCGGATATGGTTGTCAGATGTGTCACAGGTCAACGGATAGATGGGACCCAACTGGGGAGGTCAGCGGGCGAGGTAGTTTTAGCACAATTTGCTCGTCACTTCTGTTCTTGTCACTGAAAGTAATCATCTTTATTTTTATAGACATGGACGAGTGCGGAAGCTGAAAACCTTTCGTTTACCGAAATTCTGAGCTTGCATATATTCCGTTTTTGTTTGTATTTTTTTTTTATTTGTTTTATTTTTATTTATATTTTGTTTTTGTGTAAGGCAACGAATAAACCTGAGAATACCACGGTTCGATGGAAACATTGTAATGTTGTTATACAAATAAACAGGCCAGATAATAGAACCTAGTGCATCACAGGTGGGTGTGGTGTTAAACAAACAACATAAAGGACGCATAACCCACACGAGCGAGTTTTAGCTTTGCCGAATGTCAGACACTGGCTTCCAGCTTGGGCAGCTTTCCTCCTCTGGGCATAGTTATTTTTGAGGCCATGGAGCCAAGATCAATAATCCGCCTCACGAGTCAGAAGTGGAGATCGTATCCGTGAGGGGTACGGGTCGTATCTGTCAAGATGGAGTTCTTTTTGCGGCTTCACATGAAGTATTTTGAGAATTTGAAAAAAAAATCCAAGAGGAAGAATTTTAAGAGAAATAAATTTCTAAATTTTCCGCAATTTTTATGCTGGTACTTCAAAGTATAGACTATACAATGCCTTCGAAATGCGTGGCATAACCCAAAGCGCCCCTTATCCTTATGAATGGAGGCGTAATTATTGAAATGTGACGCTATCTGGATTATGGAACTCCAGGACGAATGTCCGTAAGCGGTCATTATCTGTTGCAAAAACAAGGCACTGGCAATGTAACCTTCATTTCACGACGAACGGTCATAACACCAAGTGCACTCCGTTCTCTAGTAAACAAGAAGACTAGCATGACACCACATTGATTTTCTAAAAGTGTCTCTCGCAGAACGGCACTCCATTTCATTATCGTATTGCCGCAAAAATGCTATATGAGCATTATATTTATCAATCCGTTCTTATTCGAAGCTGATTGCAACTTCAATTGAAGCTCATTTGCCGAAGCCAAGGCCAACCAATCCTTTGCGATAAGCGATAATCGCGTGTCTAATCTAATCTGTGAGAAATAGCGCTATAGTGACAAGTTGCGCCGTTCTCGTCCCGGTGTGCGGGGAATCGAATCCAGAAGCGTTATTCCATTTCATATCTATATTGCCGCAAAATGGATATAGCCATTTTTTATCGAATCGTTTTTTAATTTCGAAGCTTACTCATTCAATGCACGCCATTTGCCGAGCCCAAAACAACCATTGCGAGTAAGCAGTATTCGTGTGTTCGAATCTAATCGGTGAGCACAGCGCATATAGATATGACAAGTTGCCGCCGTCTCGTTGACGGGTTGCGTGGACGATCCTGGGTCGATCACTATCAGCAGTTACTACCGGGTCCGCTTCACCAGCTAATTCACACTTCCAACAGTACTTTTTCCTTTTTTAAGCGTTAATAGCCAGCAAGTGAAAGAACGAAAAACCACCAAAAACCAATGAAAAACAGGGAACGCATGTACTCAATCACCTCCACAATCATGAGTGGAAATTGAGCACGTGGCGCCTCCGTTGAAAGCATTACTCGAATGTATCGTTTTTATTTTATTGAAAGGTTCGTTTTTTTCATCAGAGTGATAGAATGGTCCTGAATGGGATAGATAATCTAGCATCGAAAAGATTACCGGTCAAGAACGCATGCCGTATAAACCCTATTTGGAGTAGACAAATAATAAGACAGGGACGATGAGGGAGCGTGGATCAAAATTGGTCTGCATATCGTGTGATTTCGAATGCTTCCAATCAGAAACACGCAAGCGGAGGGTACGCGTTAGCGCGCACCGCCCGTATTTTTTAGCTGCGCCCCGTGTAGGCTGATTCATGTCTTCTCTATCGATCTGTGGTGGCATGCAGTGCAGTGTTGTTTCCTGCGAAAATAAATTTTGTATTTTCGGGAATTTCGATTCCTACTCTTGTGTTTTCAGTTCAGTGTTCATGACCAACTATCTGACTTGCTGAATTGATTACGCTGTAGTGTGATCGTTTTGGTGTGTTACCATGTAAACACGATATTTCAGGCAGTTGGGTTAAAGTGGTTCTTATTCGTACGTGCGCTTGGCCCGGGGCACTGAGGTCGCAGCAGCAAAAGACGCTGGCAAGACTGATGCCACGGTCAAGCCTGATGTCGGCGGCAAGAAGGAGAAGAAAGCCGTGGATATCAAGAAGTTCACTATCGACCTACTCACTGGTGGTACTGGCGGCCGCCATCTCGAAAACCGCCGTCGCTCCCATCGAGAGAGTCAAACTGTTACTTCAGGTCTGTTTTGACAGTTATAAACTTTGCTTCGCTTGAAGGTATGGCTCTGGTTGAACTAGTGTTACGCCATGGGCAAAAGATTTGTTGTTGGTGGAATCGTCCCTGGCGGGATCGCTATTCTGATCAAAAAACGTGCTTTACAGCGCTCGCGCCGACTGGTACTGTAACCTGATGCGACCCACAGGTTTCCACACCCTCTCACCTGGAAGCCTACCCGTAGGAAGTGCTTCGAGTTCACCCGTCGCTCAGCAATGTATTTCGCTTCATGTTTTTATGTGCGGAAACCCAGTATGTGACCCCAAGTGGGTCAAAGTAACCTCACGGACGGGCCGGGTGACTCACAGCACGGTGCGGCGAGAAGTAATGACAGAGATGGGACGAATGCACGACAGCTAAACAGGGGGCGCGCCGGAGACGGTCAACTTAATAGCGAGCTAATGAGGTCTCGCCGCAGCGGCGAGCTACGTCCGCGCGGCGTACTGCGCGTCTCTGCCATACGCAGCAATTGCAGTCAGGCTCAATTTTTGAAGAGACTGACGTATTAGACATTTGTTACAGTAATCCAGTACGTGATTATCGAGTTGGTTAGCCAACATTCAATGACATGACTCGGTAGGTTACCTTGCGCAGTCATTTAGCCTCGAATCATTCGTTCAGCCTGAATTCCATTATGAGAGTCATGTGCTTGTTTAATCAGAAGCATTAGAACGTGGCACTGTCAAGAAATAGTGATGAAGGTGCCCTGACATTATAAACAGTACAGGTATAATGAGGCGGATGTATGCCTCGAGGGGATATAATCTTCAGTTACATTGCCAAGACAAATTTATCGTTCACATCCCTCTGTTATGGAGCATGCAAATTCATGCATATTCAGCATATATAGCGAGATATTGAGAGCTGCGGCGACTGGTGCGGCGACCTGGCCAACGCCGCGAGTGAAACGTCACGCACCCAGCCGTGCCGTTAACGCGTACGGCGCGTTCGCGCGCGGATGCGCTGTAATTCAATTTGTAGGCACGATGGCGCGATGAGAGCAAGGTGATTCACGGCATGTTAATCCTTCAATTATTCGGGACTCAATATTTAGAATGAATTTTTCCCATGACGGTAATAGGCGTGACGGCCTGAGTAGGTTCCTCCCCGCCTTCGAACTACACAGCGATCAATTGCGCTTTCGTTTTCGGTTGTGAGTTATTAAAATCACTTATAACAGTGTTAATTATTTGCTATGTAGCAATTGTAGATGTAATCTACCATAACAAAGTAAAAGTTCTGAAGGAGCTTTGTTTATTCAAGGTACAAGATGCCTCGAAAACAATTTCGGCTGAAAAACGGTACAAAGGTATCATCGACGTGTTGGTTCGTGTACCGAAAGAGCAAGGTTTCTTTTCTCTTTGGAGAGGAAATTTTCGTGCGCAAATGTGGCTGAGTACATCCCGACGCCAGGCGCTCAACTTCGCCTTCAAGGACACGTTTAATGTGATTTTCTTGAAAGGGTACGCAGTTTTCTTTGAGGAAAAATTTCACGGTGGATGGTGACTCTTTTGTGGTGATCATTTCAGCGTTGACAAAAAGAAGGACTTTTGGCGATTCTTTGGGGGTAATCTTGCATCGGGAGGAGCTGCTGGTGCAACGTCTCTTTGTTTCGTGTATCCACTTGATTCGCTCGTGAGTGAATCATTATTTCTTCACTTATTGCCATTTTAAGCCCATCTTTTGTGACGGCCTACCTTTTCTTCGTTCCATGACATGATTTTCAAACGGGCAAACGGCGCCTCTCTAGCTTTTCCTTTTTGTCCAAGCTTTAGAGAGACTGATCATCATAGAATGTCTTTTTATGCGTAGGATTACTTCTTCTCTGTCCTACCGTCCATAAAAGGCTGGAATTTGTTTTTCATCTCACCAAAGATCCAAAGGTTTGAGACTCATCATAGACACCAGGGTTTATCGATTGCAGGAACTCGGCTGGCTGTTGACATCGGAAAAGGAAAAGGGCGAGAATTTCAAGGGCTCACTGATTGTTTGGTCAAGGTGTTCAAGTCAGATGGACCAATAGGACTGTATCGGTATGTCTTCCACTTTTAGGTCTATTACGCTGCTGGCACTGAAATTAGAAATTTGGGTGGGAAGTTCGCAGTTGGCACACATTAGCTTTTAGAGCTAGCCGCTTCTCTAACACGTTGAGTGTGCAGAACAAGCTGTCTGAAATTGTCTAGGATACGAAGTTATACGATGATGGAATAAGCAGATATTGCGCTTCCTGCGTAGCAACTCAGTAAAACCGCTATGTGACGTTAGTATGAGTGACTGGTGACTACCGATTTCTAAACTAGCGGCTGGATACTTCCTTGTTATGTGTAAGTTTAGTGGGTCGTAAGTTATTCAGATCGTAAAATGGGTTGTGGACCTTGCTAGCAAAGAAATTACCATGTTTGTACGGTTCACGATTCTGCGACAGCCGGCTGCCCTGCTTACGCATTTTATCGGCCCTAAGAAAAAGCAATCCAAAACACATCAGGTTTTATTGCAGTAGACGAAGTGAAATTGAACAACGTTTATTTCGAGAAGATTTTCAATTGTTCACCACTAATTTTTTTTGCTCCTTCCCTGGGTTTATCGGTTTACTGCGTATGAATCACTTAGGCTGGTAAAATAATTTGCAATAGAATCTTTACATTTTTTTTCTGTGAACTGGTTCTTAAAACGGTTAAATTTAAGTGGTTTTGTTGTCTCCGTACAAGGAATCATCATTTATCGTGCGGCCTATTTTGGAATGTTTGACACGATCAAGTATTTCTTAGCTGCAGAAGGGAAGAAACTTAACTTCTTTGCAGCATGGGCTCTTGCACAGGTAATTTCACCGTTATTTATTTCACTGTTTTTGCCATTCATGATAAAATTACGCATAAGTGCTGTTCTTCGTCAGGTTGTAACTGTGAGCTCTGGTATTCTTTCCTATCCTTGGGACACCGTGCGGCGACGTATGATGATGCAGTCAGGTCGATCGGATATTCTGTATAAGAATACACTTGACTGCGCCATGAAAATTATAAAAAATGAAGGAATGAAGGCGATGTTCAAGGTTTGTCGTTACGTGTTTTTCTTTTTCGAAACTTTGGTCATACATATGATTTTCAGGGTGCTCTATCGAATATTTTCCGTGGAACTGGAGGAGCTCTTGTGCTTGCCATCTATGATGAGATTCACAAATTCCTTTAGTTGAACTCGTACTTCTTAGTTTGGGCGTTACACGTTGATAAATAGAGTATTAACTGACAATTATTAAGTAATAGAGTATTAGAGGTTGAGTAATTGAGTTTTACTGACTTTCAGACAACTATAAAAGGACTTTTATTTTATGACACACATTGTTGTGTAAACTCATTTGGAGTTTTTTTTATTAGGAATTGACAGCACACATTTGATAAAATCGATAAAAAAAACTGCTCGTACAATCGAGAGTTACACTGAAAAAAAGCAAACAGTTACGGTATCGATCTCCAGGACTGTTCATCTCTTCAAAATCAGCACAGAAACATCACGAGAACTGAACAACTTTAGTTTCAGTACCAGAGGATTTTCACAAGTGTTAGACGACTGACACTGTTACTGTACGACATCATAAGCTCGAATGAGTAACCTATTCTTAACAATGGGTTGCTAATAGGTTGCTACCGGAATAGGTCAATTTTACAGGGTCGAGAGGAGGCCAACTTGCGTGTTGCACTTTATTGAAAGGACAATGGAAGGAAGTCACATGATTCCTCTCTTTGATGTCCTTTGAAGAAATTTCGTACATTCATTGTCCTGGAGTACAGAGTGCTAAGTCTGACAAATCCGCGAGTGCACATGTTTCTGGAGTGATTGCAAGGGGCAATTCGTCGAGCGGCGAACAAACTCATCATTCCCAGCAATAACAGGGAAGCGTGCGGATTGCTGTCTGAAATCTGCGGATGGGTAGCTTTTGGAATTGCTTGTTGCCAAACTGCATCAATCGTGAATGAAACGCCTTCAGGTGCGGTTTTTGGTCCCAAGCAGTTATATCAGTATCGTCTGCTGTGGCTCAAGCAACGGGTTTTTTAACTTCAACACTAATGACGTAGAACGATGAGCGGCTAGAACGCTAGTTAAGCGGCACAAGAAGGTGAACCTGAATAACAACTCAACCTTGAAAGCCGTAAGAAGGCAGCTGAAACGGCTTCTTGAAGTGGTGAGGGTTACTATGTTGCGTCCGCGACCCTTGCAGGAGCCCACCCACTCTGCTGAAGACCCCGTTTCAGCCCTCACTTTCTGATGGTTTTAGATAGGGGTTGAAGTCTTTTTGTTCAGTCACACTTGTTATGCTCTTGACTAGGGCTGGCGCATCGTCCCACACCATTAGTGTTGAAGGTAAAAACCCTGCTGGGACTGTTGCTTTAATCTTGCTAGGTTGCTGCACACTCATGCATGAAAAATTCCCTTTCATTGGACGTCGCTGAGCTTTCCGACGACGCAGGATTACTTTCGCTGCCCTCTAACGCAATAATGCACCTTGAATTAGGCGTATACGACTCAATGCTTAACAGCGCTGCAACTGTTCTGAAGGCATTGGGTGAAGCTTGTGAAGCTTCCTTTCGCTGCTCTTTTTATCTATCTACATCTAGGATCCGATATCTACAAAGAGGAAATTTTTAAACCGAGAACCAGTAAAAATATGGTTAGCTATCGCGAGGAAAAAAAGCAGTCCAATCTCGGAAAAATTGTTGCATTTACGCGTCATTGTGGTTAAGGGCGAGCAGTGATGACTTGTTTCTGAGGTTTAGACGGGATGATTTACCTGTAACACATTGAAGTCCGTATTTCGTGAAGGTTCCGCATGTTACATTAGCCGTATTGCGCGTGTGCATACCCGGAGATGCACAAGGTCTGCATTTCGTTAAAGACCGACAATGCTTCGGCAGGTCATCGGTCTGTCGGTTGATGATGACCAAATACATGAAGGTGTTCGGTGGATATTGTTCAACAGCAGAGAGTTCAAGGTGGTTTATTCAACTATTTGTAACCACCGGAAAGGTTTTGAATTTTACTTCAAGTCGGCCATGATATTCAGCGGGAACTTTCCGGACAACCCAATATTTCATCTTTATTGTAATGCTAATCCAATCTGATGCCAGAATGGTTGGGAAGTATAGGGCTTCGATGAATTTTAAGTGCAGGAGACGCTCACAGCTGCCGTCAGATGCTCATATGAACACCTGCTTCGTGTACTCGTGGATAAATTTGAGCACGTTCTCGTCTTTTTATAAGACATGAAAACTGCACCGATTACTAGACGGGGGATTATGTCGCACGTTTTCAGCTACCCTTTGAAAAGATGATACTGCTAGAAAAGGCTGACCATGAGATATGAGTTGGCAAATTGATCGTAACACCTCACCTTGCCAGGGGAAGGGCATGCAACTTCCCATGGAACCTTGAATCAGGACCCAGATATATCTAGATAGAGCTTCAAACGCTGATTACAAATATGGAAACTAAAACTGCAAAATGAACCTGTCAAGGAAGTTGTAAGCAGTCAGGTGCGAGTGTCAGGTTTGAGTCGGCAGGTCATGAGCTCTCTTCCCCTTGGAGTGAGAAGTCCGAGAACACTATCACTACTCCATGGCGACTCTGAATGCCCTTACGCAGCACGGTTCATATGGTATGGCTTTATTTCCGGCCAGCTTT